GTTGATGTTCCATAATATAAGCGATAAAAAATGTATTAGGGAGATTAAATAATCAGTCTTTTTTTAGATCTCCAAACATGACATTGTTAGGGTTCATCTGGTCGAAATCCCTGTAGAGTGCATTCTTACACAGGATACCATGTATGTGGAAGATGAGAATTATAATTATTATGTTTTTTTATAACGCAGTAATCACATTGATTGAAGAAGTTTCCTAAAACTTATAACACGTGCAGAGAAAATTACTTTTATCCAGCCAAGCTAAATAGCTAATCTAAAAAAAAATCGTGTTCTATGTGCTTTTGAAAACTTTTTCATCAGTTTATTTCAGTTTCAAATTAATTTGCGTTTGTATACATTATTATTTCATTCGTTATATTATTATTATTATATTATAAGTATCATAAATAGAATGAAATTATGTATAACGTAAAAAAATCGTTAATTATTGATATACAGGGTCCGGCAATAGTGCGTCGGGCATCTGTAGCTCCTAGAATAAAAAACTTGAGAATTTTGTTTAAGTGCAAACCTAAAGTATGTATGAGGATGTATTTCAGGAAAATATTTTAACTTCTATAGGGTGGCTCAAAAAAGTGAGAGTGGATCGACATGATTTTTTTTAAATGGAACACCCTGTATATTATTGCACTTTTGGCTTCCTGTTAGATCACTCTACATAATCCTAAGACATGAGTAAATATATTTCGATAATTTCAGAGATATTAATAAATAAATAAAAATTATATATTTTTTAGCCTTTCTTAAAAAAATTATTAATAATACAAGAACTGTCCTGAAATCAAAACTATATTAGATATTTACTTTAGATGGTCTGTACTTACTTTGCTGTAAATATGGAAATCGTAAATCATATAGGATGTTCAAAATTCTAAGCCAAACTTTCTAAAATATAAAATAATTTTTCTTTGTTTTTTTAAATGGAACACCCTGTATATTATTTTTTCAATAGATGGGGAATTAAAAAATGAACATTTTTTGCATTTAGAGTATTTCAAAATTTTTAACAATTTCGCAGATATTCCCGGTTTTGTATTTCATACGGCATTTTCCACAGTAAATTTTTATCAAAGTCACCCAATGATTTTTCTCTCGTATTTTACCATTGAAAGCGCCATATATAATAATACTGGGTGTATCCGGAAAACTATTAAAATTTTTGAAATACTTTAAATACAAAAAATGTTCATTTTTTAATTCTCTCAAATAAAAAAAGAATATACAGGGTGTTCCATTTAAAAAAACGAACAAAAATTATTTTATATTTTTGAAAGTTTGGCGTAAAATATTGAACATCCTGTATGATTTACGATTACCATATTTATAGCAAAGTAAGAACAGACTCTCTAAAGTAAATATCTAATATAGTTTTGATTTCAGAACAGTTCTTGTATTTTTAATATTTTTTTAAGAAGTGTTGAAAAAAATATATTTTTGATTTATTTTTTAATATCTCTGAAACTATCGAAATAGATTTACTCATATCTTAGGATTATGTAAAGTGATCTGAAAGGAAGCCAAAAATGCAATAATATACAGGGTGTTCCATTTAAAAAAAATCATCCAGATCCACTCACACTTTTTTGAGCCACCCTATAGAAGTTAAAATATTTTTCGGAAATACATCCTCATACATACTTTAGGTTTATACTTAAACAAAATTCTCAAGTTTTTTATTCTAGGAGCTACAGATGCCCGACGCACTATTGCCGGACCCTGTACAAATCATCTTTAGAAGGGGATTTCTTTATTATGAATTTTGAGAAAAATGCATCTTTTATAAAAATTATTACATGCTTTAAAATCGTTAACCCCGTTTATACTTTTCCAAATTTCTGTAGGTACCGTTTTAGAGAAAAATAAAAAAATCCTGAAAATCACAACGCGTCTATGGTAATATCATTTCGTTTTCATTCTTTGATAGATAATTGTCCTAAATTTTGATTCACTTCATATTTTTGCTATTTTAAAACGAAAGAAGCACAAAATTTATTATGTTCAGTGCTACGGAAAGGGTGACACTAGTGATCGACAAGGTGATACTTTAACAAAAGCAAAAAATATGATGTTAATTAAAATTAATAATAACCATTTATCAAAGAATGGGAGCGAAATGATATTAGGTACCATAGAAACACATTTTGATGTTTAGAACTTTTAGAAAAATTCAACCATATTTTTATTGATTTAGATGGCGGATTTATCTCTTCAAACAAGCCCTCTGCCTCCCAAATTTGTCTAACAAAAAATCCTTAACGTTTCAGGACATATAAGGTGGGCCATGAAAGGCCACTTTAACGAATAAACAGTTTTTATTAGTCCATTTACTGGATAAACGAAAGAAACAAATTATTAATTAACTTAATTATTATGTAATCACTATTAACTTTTATTAAGCTCTTCCAAATGGCCTTGCAAGAAACAGGACTCTATACAAGGCCAATATTATAAATCAGTCGTTCGACTTAAAACTAGAGTTAATAATCAAAATATCCGTTTTTACTAAAACTATATAAAAACTTTTTCATTTAAATGAAAAATTAAATGCTTGACATGTTATAAGCTTCTTTAAAAAACTCAACGAACATTCCTTGAACACATATAACGTGGTATGTGACGGTATGTCATCACGTGGCACAAACTCTGACTTTTTTATGGTTGTGCCTCTCGTTGTTCTCCCGTCGTCGGAAGCAAAACACGCAAAGAACGAAGAATTTTTTTTTCTATAGCAACTGTTAAAATTGCCTTATATCTATGAAAAATAGTAGATAAAATAGTACTTTAACCACAAGGGTAGATTAAATGATACTTTAACAGCGAGGATAGGTTAAAAAGTTTATTTCTTCTCGCACGTTTTTTAATTACCTCCATTTTTGAAAATTTTTGTATTCCTTTTCATAAGTTACTCGGGATTTAAATGGAAGTAGTTTGGATAGGGCGTTTATCGGCTCAGCCTGAATATAATAATAATAATAATAAATGAGAGGGGAGACAATAGAACATATCACGTCTGGTTGCTCTACCTTAGCAGATAATGCGTATCTTGGACGTCATAATCAACTTGCCAAAATTATTCATCAACAACTTGCCATAAAATCAGAGCTCTTGAGCAAAACATCACCTCCCTACTACAAGTACTCCCCGCAACCCGTCCTGGAATCTAGGGATACTGTTTTATATTGGGACAGACAAATTATAACCGATCGGACAGTGGACCACAATAGACCCGACAATCTTTTTTTTCGATAAGATCAATAAGACGGGCATTATAATTGACATAGCAGTACCATTATCCCGCAGGATAAAACAGACGGAAACAGATAAAATAACAAAATACGAAAATTTATCATATGACTTAAAAAACGTGTGGAATCTTAAGACCGTAAAGATCTTACCGTTCGTAATTTCGGTGGAGGGAATTCTTAGCACAGAATTCCAACAAAATCTAAAAGAGATTAATTTACCATGCTCAATTGCAAAAGTAGGACAACGAGCTGTATTATTGCAGACTTGTCACATCGTCCCAAAATTCTTGAACTAGCTGGAAGGAGCCAAAAGCTTTTTCAGTTAGTCAGCTAAACCGCACCGAACCTGTTCCGAGAAAAAGAATTAAATAATTGAAATAATAATAAACACATTTATTATCCCAACATGTTAATTACATTACAAAACAATCTGTTGGTAATTTACTTATTTCGTTTTGAGCCATTTCTGGCTCCAATTCAATCAGCAATCGACACGAATGAGAATTAAAAATATTGACTCAAAACTGACAACTAAAGAGACAGCTTTATTTATTTGTCAAATTACATAGAAACCAAAGCCAACCCCAGCACAATATTTTTTCTACTCGTAATAAATTCCTTCACTGAAAAAAAAGGATCTCTCAGTCGAAATGAATATGACTTTGACCCAAAAGATTGGCGCTTTTCAATAGGGCCAAGAACGACGTTTCTTTGCTCAAAGCATTAACTTAAGAGAATAGAAGAATCTATCTGTCCAAAGTATTTCACTCTTGATCCAAAATGAACATGCAAAGAAGTTCTTAATACAAGAACAATACTCTCTTTGATTCATGCAAAAATTCTTGATTGAAAAGGGACATTTCTTGATTAAAGAGACACTTTTCTTCACAAATCAAAAGAGTATTTAGCTATTGGAAAAATGGCCATGTTTCTTGAATGAAGTACTTCCTAGCGTATTTTTTTTATTATCTTAAAACAAAGGAACTTGCACTTGGTTAAATGAAAATAGATTCAAGAGAAATTTTCGAATTTTTCAAGACAACCAGTTTTCTTGAGTTAATAGAGTTTTTCTTCAGGCAAAATATTTTCTTTTACGCTAAAATAAATCCTCTTGCCACTATTTTTTTTTTCTAGAACGATGACGACTTTAGTTCAAGTCTACCTTTTTTATCAGTGTTGAAATAATAATTTCTGAATATTTTTTAAAACATAACTATGGAAAAAAATATTGTTTTATACACGACGATAAAATTGCATTACCAAAATACCATTTTATCGTCTTGTATAAAATATAACTATTAAAATATCAAACAACAACTATTCAACAACACTTTAGTTTTTTCAGGTAAGATTATTAAAAATCGTTGACGTTCTGTTAAAATAACGTTAGGTTTATTAAGTTAACTTCAAAATTAACAATTACTACCTGATAACAATGCGCTAAAACCAAGAAGCTTCAAACTTCCGGTATGTGATTATTACAAAAAAATAATCAATACAGAAAGTGTGCGGATTTTTGGTTTAACCTCATTAAGTAATTGTTATATTAGTGAAGTATAAGCGGGATTAACTATTTTAGAACAAGCATTTTTTTATGACAAATACTTTTTTTCAAAATATTAATAATATAAAAGTTGTTCCTCTTGTAAAGATGACCCGAATACATACTGTAGATGTGCAATAATGTGACTAACTAATAGGTATAAAAATTTAATAAAGTAAATTTGTTTTCAGCATTATAATTGACGACTTCGACTCATCGTCGAAAGAATCTAGTACCAAAGACTCGTCCAAACCCGTCCAGGACGCAACGACGACGCCCCCTCAATCCTCGACAGCGGCGCCTCGAGTTTACACCAGGTCCTATTCGGACGCGTCCATCAAGAAGATCTTGGTAAGTTGTAAATTCGGCGGTGATCAATTCACCACGTGCACAAACATTCAAAGCGGACAGTTTTGAAGTGGGTTAATACCCACGTAATCGTGATTAGGTAAGTGCGAAGAACTTACGGCGCTTTGCCCGGAATTAGAAATTGCAGTTGCGGAGTTTATGCTATCTGACAGGGTGCTTATAGCTTGTATACGGGACAAGTTCGAGATGAATAGGAATTATTTAGCGGATGAAATATAGGGAACTCTCGTTAATCGGAATATCTCAATGACATACTCTATTAATTTGGATTATAGAATTCTTTAATGAATATGGATGCTGCCAAACTGAGACTCATCAAAAATTAGGCTTTTCTAAATCCATTTTTTCCGTTTGTTTTATGTCGGTCACTATTAGATAAATGATAATTTTAATCTTGTTATCCTAATGTTATTTTGAATGTGGTAGACAATGATTCATTACCGAAAGTACCGGAATTTCGGACTTCCACTGTCTTTATTTATTTTGCTTACACAACGTTTCGGTCAGTATATAAGTATCACTGACCGTTGTCAAGAATGAACTAATTGAAATTCTAAAACTACTGAGCTTATATAATATTGTAGAGCATAGTGGCAATACACTGCATGCATGCAGATGACATAGTAATGATTGCACGGGGGAAACATGAAGGCACCTTGTGTGATATTATCCAAACAGGACTCCGCATCTCTGAGAGATGGTGCCGGACTGTCGGGCTGAGCATCAACTCAGATAAAACCGCGGTAGTGCCACAAAGCGAATTCTGAAAAACTTGAAAAGGATCCATCTAGATAGAGGGGAGATACTGCCATCACAGGAAGTGAAATATCTGGGGATAACCCTTCTCTGGAAAAGGCATATTAAGAACATTACCAGCAAAGCCACAAAGGCTCTAATGATTGGCGGAAAATAGGTGACATTCTGCGCTGGATGTATACCATGATAGTAAGACCCATGATTACCTATGGAACAGTTGCTTGGTACACAAAACTAGAGCAACGTACATCAAGGCAAAACCTGTGCAAAGTACAGAGACTGCCATGTATCTGCATCACAGGTGTGAATATGTCCAACAGCAATGGAGATCATTCTAGACCTAACATCACTGCACATTGTTGTCGATAGATATGCCAATGCGACAATGATTAAAATGGTCATTGACGGAAACAGTACTGGGAGAATTTTCAGGTCAGGGGCTTGGAACACCCTCAAAAAGAAAATTCTACTTCTCCAACGCTCAGTCGATCGCATGACAAGAATTTACAACTTTGAAAAACACTGTAGTATTGAGTAATAAAAAGGATTGGGGAAGGAAGAAATATTTGCTCAGCATGCCATATCATAACGTGGTAAACTGATGCTTCCAAAACTAAAGCTGGGACAGGGATAGGAGTATTTAGGCCGAAAACTAAATACTCCTAACCAATGGGCACCTACCCCAGCAGCCTTCAGGCAGAAATCCCACGCTATCGACAGATGTGTACAATATATCTTAGATAGAAACTATCGAAAACAGGAAATAACCATCTTATCCGATAGTCAAACAGCCCTAACGCGATCAACTTAGTAACCATCAATTCGAAGTTGGTCACAGAATACCTAGAGCTCAATAAATTACGCAAAGAAAATAAAGTCCTCCTACCCTGCAATGCAACTGCCCACAAGGCAATGAAAAAGCAAATGATCTAGACAGCAAAAGAGCGAACACTCCACTAACTGGGCCAGAACCGTTCTGTTTTCCAAGCGGGAACCAACTGAAAGCGGAACTGAAGAATCTGGAAGACTCCATCCGTAACCTGGAATGGGTGTCCTTCAGCGTTCTAAGACACTCGAAAGTTCCTCAGAACTTACGACCGAGAAAAATCAAAGGTTTTCCTTGATTTAAGTAAAAACAATCTTCGGATTGTCACGGGGTTTCTAGCAGGACACTGTCTCCTCAACGAATGCATCAGTAGGCTGAAGCTGAGAAACAACGGCGAATGCAGATTCTGTGGGGGAAAATGGGGAAACACTAGAACACCTTATCACTGAGTGCGCCTAGACGACGACCGTTCGTGCCATGAACTTTGGTACGGCTGATCTCGAGGATGGAGAGCTAGCCTCTGTGGAGTCGTCTCAGATACTGAGACGGTTGCCATATTGTTTTGCCATATTATTGTTACTATATTATTTTCATACTAGGATTACTAAAGATTTTATTATAGCCAGATATGAATACAGCCTCTTTAAATTTACACTTTTTCCAACGGCTTCCGACCATTTTATGTTGTGCTGCTTGGATCACACATGATCTGCAATGCCCAACTTCATTGTTTTACTTCTTTGCGTATGTTTTTTATGTTCGTCAAGTCGTAGAGGACGTTTTGTCTCTCCAATTTACGACTCACCGCACTCGCAAGGTTCTGGATTTGTTTTTGTTACTACACTATTTAGAGTAGTCCCAGACTCAAAAACAGTTTTAATTTTATACTGTTTGGCTATTCGCCTGAACTTTTTCAACGTTCCTTTCACATATGGAATCGTCAAGAGAAAGAGAGCATCATACAAGCTGCTTGTGAAAGATATTAGGTATTACTTAACGTCTTATTGAGCTTACTAATACACCACAAGGTGTCTCGCCATTCCAACTATAAACCGGATATTGAAGATGTACAATTTAGGAGTCAGTATCATAGTATAAGGTGTATACTTAAGTTGTAGTATATTCTCTTAAGGATTTCAAATTTTTTCATGAACTCCCACATGGTTCATTAAACCTAACAAGAACAATCCTTAATTGATTCATTGTTCATAATCTCTATTTATACACACCGTCACTAGCAGATACTATATCAATAAAGATATCCCATTCCGATTATCGCTCCACCGTATGCTCCAATTTATGAAACAGTTTTTAGATAAAGTATTTATAGTTAATATTTCTATTTATAGAGTAAAACGTAGTTATATAATTGAGAATTGCCAATATCTCGTACGTAAGCACTTGATTTAAATTAGACATACTTCTATTTTAAGTTTAATGTCAACTATAATAGCTATTAATTATTCTGGGTTGAACTTGTATTAGATTGAGTCAATTGATTTGAGCTAAATTTCTTCGAAAAAAATTATCAATATACCGGGTGCATCTCGAAAGTGGCACCCCTATAACTTTTTTTATTTTTTTCAGATAAAAAAAACGAGATTTGGTATGTTAGTATATGACATATATTAGAATTGATTGGTGTATTCAATTGTTTTTGGTCACTTCCTGTTTCACCGGAAATGACTACAACTTTTGATTTTTGAATGGTACCCTCGGTATATTTCTACTTTATTCGATAGAAAATGAAACTATGGACGAAGTTTCAATATTTCGCATTATTTTATTTAATCCATTTCAAGACTTTCTTCGGTATTCAGTCCCCACTCATTCTTTTTACATGCCTATACCATACCAGCTGTCTTCTCTCTATTTCGTCTATTATCGTTTGCTGGACATGCATACTTTCTCTTATCTGTTTGTTCGGTACTCTTTCCATTCTTGGAATCCACGCAAATCTTCGCCAGAAGTCCATCTCGAGTGCTAATAGTTTTTGCTCCATTCTATTTCAGTGAGCTGCAATGTTTCACATCCATATAAAACTATAGTTTTAAAGATGGAATTATAAATAGTATGTCTTTTCTTATATGAGATGTGTTTGGACCATAATACTGAGTTTAGGTACCCGATGACTTTTTACCTTTCAGTATTCTTTCCTCGATCTCGCTCTCTGTTCGCCCGGTACAATCTATCTGAGTTTCAATCTTGTGAACTATTTCAATCTTGTGAACTCTGAAGATATTTACTTATTTTATAATGCAAAATGTATATTTTGATAAACTATCTTCTAACACAAATTATATGTTGTCATCTAAACAATAAACAAAACAGAAATGAAAAATAAAAGATTTCACCGCAAATATTATCTTTGACATATACACACGCGAGATTTTCCAGTTTAGACACTGCAATTAAGAATTTTCTTTCTCTGTGGTTTCGTTTTTTCATCTCGCGTTACATCTATCCACTTCGTGTTGCAGCTGTGAATCGTAATGGTTTTAATAGTTTGTAAATAGTTCAAGCGATTGATGCGGCATCAGTCTTATTGTAAACAGTGGTAGAGTGGATTTAAAGTCGGTGTTTCGGATAAATAGGGAAAACAGATATATTAGATGACACCTTCAAAAATTTACTGAGGTTCTATTTTTATCGATACATATATGCTTAAATTTAAAATTAGATTATTTACTTTATATAACCCTAACCGGCACGAAAAAGGGGCACCTTAAAATTTTCATGTATTTTTAAATTTCAATATATTTTGTTCTTGTGGCCCGATTTTGATGATTTTTTATGCAATATGTAGCTAAATTAATTGAAGTCTTAGTCCTTTTTTTTAATTAAAAACTCAGTTTTCATCTGTCTATTCTATGAAGAGAAACAAAATGCTGTTATTTTGGTGAAAGTTTGAAACACGCTATTGAAATATTTAATCAAAATATGGAGTTTAGAAAACACTTTTTCATTAAGGTGTATTGTGAGGCTCCCCCGTTTTTGAGAAAGCTCACGGACGCCGAGTTGCCTTGGTTCGGTTCCTCGGGCGCCACCCCCAAAGTTTAAAGTGTTTGAGAGACCACTAGTGCCAGAACGGGTAGCTTTTATACAGTGGAGATACCAGGGAGTGATGAGATGAAAAGAAAATAAAACACACAATTAACTATAACGTAACACTAGGTTTTTATTTAACAAATTAATTATGTACAAAAGTAATCAAGGAAAGTTTACCTTCTCGTATTGTAACAATAATAAAATATAATAAATGTTTAGATTAATATAATTATATATTAATAATTTGTTTTGAAACACCCTGTATACATATTTTTTTGGCTAGGTATTTTTTTGGGTCGTAATAAAAAGGATATTAAGTTAATAATTTACATAATGGGGAATTCCATAGGTC